TATTCATTAAAGTGTGAATTATATAATTAATATAATTATATATTAATTATCCATTTTGGAAAATAAATCTCTAATCCAGTTTTGCTTTCAGTTCAGCTAATTTGGGCTAAATTTTGATGTTAATTCCAAATTCCCAATAATTGACTCTAGTGAATAAATAGGAATCCTGTCTACGGTTGTGCCGGTTTCGTCCATAATATTTTCCTGATTCTGGAACATATCTGCATTGTGGGATTTTGATGCCCAGTACATCTGGTACTTTGGCCTGATAACAAAATCGTTTAGCAAACAGTGCTATCCAACAGATACAAAGGCTGAACAATTATTACAGACATTCCTGCAAGTTATAAGACTGCATTTAGATTTGAAAATAAATTACGATTGATGTTTTTTTTTGTTAGAATTCTATTTACCTTTCAGACATTGAACACACAACTTATGCTCAAATAAAAGATCATAACTGTTCATCTATATACATTTAGCTAGTAGAATTGCAAGGAAAATAACAGAGTAAAAAAAAAAATCCCTCCACTTATCTGTCAATCAATTCTTAGCATTTAGGGCTATTTCAATGGGATAATGTGCATGGTGAAGATTGATAGACAGGTGAGTAGCAAGAGAACCATCCTCCATGTGGTTTGTGTGCTCTCCTTCACATCAACAAGGAAGCATGTGGTGTACATAGCATTGGCTCAAGTCATGCTTTGCCAAAAGACTATAAGAGCAGAGCGTCAGACATCTCTCTGTTCAAACAAAGATGTGCTGGCAGTGACGTTTAAGCCAACATGTTAAAGGGACACTATAGTCACCCAGACCACTTCAGCTCAATGAAGTGGTCTGGGTGCAATGCCCCTCAGGTTTTAACCCTTCAGATGCAAACATAGCAGTTTCAGAGAAACTGCTATGTTTACATTTGAGGTTAAGCCAGCCTCTAGTGGCTGTCTTCCGGACAGCCACTAGAGGCGCATCTGCCACGCTGGAGGCATATGATGCCTCCATCGCACAGAGCATCCATAGGGAAGCATTGAAAAATGCTTTCCTATTGACAGCTTGAATGCGCGCGCAGCACTTGCTGCGCATGAGCATTCGGCTCCGCTGATGTCAGCGGGGGAGGAGAGGTCACCAGCGCCGAGGGAGCCCAGCGCTGGAATAAGGTAAGCTGCTCAAGGGGTTTGTTTTCCTGACCCTATAGTGATCCTTTAATGTTAAAGTGATAGGTATGTTGTATTTTAGGATATGTTACTGTATTGCCAAGATGATGGGGAGTGTTACTAGTGTGATACCCATGGATTACGATGACAGCAAAAGTTTTGGAGAGGACATCTTGGCGCTCTTTATCTCTCCACCTCTGGTGACGCTTCCTCTTTGCTAGTCCAATCTAATGCTCTTCATTGAGGTAAATTGCGGAACTGATGCACATATGCGACAAGAGCTGTGTGCGCAATACTTCTCATAAAAAGACATTGAATCCAATACTTCCCTGTGAGCTGCAATGTCTTGACTGAGTTTTACTCGGTCATTGCAGCAGAAGTGACGCTAGTGGCTTTCAGTTTAACAGCCACTAGAGATGTCTTAAACCCTTCAAACTAAACATTGCAGATTTTGGAAAACAACAATATTTTACCTTGAAGGGTTACAACCTCAGGATCACTGCAGCCAAACCACTCAGTTAAGATGAATTTGGAGAAACTATTGGTCCTTTAATATTCATTAAAAAAAATTTGGAGGATCACATGAAAAATGTTAAAGGGTTCCTCCAAGCACCATGACCACTTCAGTGCTCTGAAGTGGTCATGGCGCTTGGAACCTGTATGTGCAGAATTTTGCTATGAAACACTGCGCATACAGAGTTTATCATATCTGCTGACAAAGGTGAAACTCCAGCATCATCAGGGCTTCTTAAGCCGGCCTGGAACATGTGTTTATATTCAATGCACACAAGTTCATTTATTGCCTGGGAGCACTTTGCTGATGTTCTCAGCCAATGAATAACCAAATGGATTCACATCTGGCTTCTCCAGCACTGCATGCACGTTGCCGGTCATCAGAGGACCCTGGATACCAGCAGGATCCAGGTAAAGAGGGCAAACAGAGGAATGGGGCCAAGGTACTCCTCACATTATAACCACTACAGCTGACTGTAGTGGTAATGACGCTTGGAAAACCCTTTAACAACATTTATAGGTGATTTGTAACATTTTGTCATTTCTGGATGTTTCCCCTTTAATAAAATAACAGTTTGGGGTTGTCTGCAAGTTACAGCCTCATATTTTTTTTTTTTTTTTTTTGTAAATATCTTTTTATTAAACCTTTTTCGTTTTTGTTGATTTTGCAACATGTCAAAGAGAAACGTGGACTCGCAGGTCCCTCTGGTCATTCACAGAAGCTTATACATCGGAAGGCATGTGATGACATACGTGTCTGGGCGACTCGCAGGTCGCTTTCTTGAGTAAATAGCATGTGTATTGTGGACTCGCAGGTCCGGTGTTACATGGTGGTGCTTAGTACTCTGTTATATTTAATATGTACCATTTCTACGTTGGGTGGTTTTACATGCCCCACCGTGGTTGTGTTTTGTTTGTCTATCCCCCATGCCTACCCTGTAGCCTCTAGGCAGTAGTGAGACATGTGGCCATCTGGTGTGTAGGGTCCCTTCGGGACGTGCAGCCCCCCAGTGACCTTGTGTCCAGGGTCCTACCTGGCCATATTGTGGGGTGTTGGCCCCCTGCCGTAGTATAATTTGGTTCTGCCCAGCGGCATAGGTGGTGTTGGTGGGAATAACCTAAGGGGCATCCTGCGACTCCCTCCAAACTAATGAGCTTTATAGCTCACAAAACAGGCGCTCTTCCACCCCCTTTACTCGCGAGGCCGCAGTCCGCCCCGGGCCCCGCAAGTGGTCGCACCCTAGCGGGTGTCGTGGCCCTCCCCGCACGCCCCCGCGCCGCCCCCGGGTCCCCCGAACCCGCGCTCCACCCCGCTCCATAGGGGTCGGGGGTGAGGTATCGCGTTTTGGGCCAGGTGTGGATCGTCCCGCTAGTCTCCCAGCGTCTCCTCCTGGGGATTATTGGTTCCCTCCCCCTGGTCAATTGCATAGTCCGAAATGCCTCTGTACCCACCCGTGCCAACCAGGGTGTCCATGTGTCTAAGTATGTCTGCGTTCGGTCTTGGGCTGAATACCAGATCTCCTCTGTGACTCGTAACTCCTCCATTCTAGTAAACCACAGGGAGAGTGTTGGGGTCGTGTCTTTTTTCCAGTACAAAGGTATTAGGTGTTTTGCGACGTTAAGGATTCGGATGGTCAGGGAGCGTTTGTAGCGTGATGTGGGGGTTGTCGTGTGGTGTAGGAGGTACGGGGCGGGCCGGAAGGGTGGGACATTGTCCGTGAACATGGCCACCATGGCAGCTATTTGCTCCCAGAACGGTACTATAAGTGGGCATTCCCACCATATGTGAAGAAAGGATCCCACCCCTCTCTTGCACCTCCAGCAGAGGCCATCCGCGTCCAAGTGCATTCTCTGTAAGCGTTCTGGGGTCAGGTACCATTGTGTGAGAACCTTGTAGGCAGTTTCCTGGGTTTTGCTCGCGATTGCGCAGTGGTGCACTAGATCGCAGATCTTGTGCCACTGGGTCTCGGTAAATGTTTCCCCCATGGCAGTCTCCCATTTGGACATGAAGGGGGGTGGGGGGTGTCCCTGTTGTCGTTGTAGCATGGAGTAGAGGTAGGAAATGCTATGGGGCATGGGCTCCGGGTCCTGGCACAGCTGTTCGAATGGCGTAAGGTCCCTATATACGTCGGGATGTTGTGGTATAGCAGTGACGTAGTTCTTAATTTGGGTGTATCTGAATTTTGTCAAGAAGGGCTGGGTGGGTGTGCCCACGAGCGACTGTAGGGACACGATTTTCCCATTGGTGGTCATGTCTCGGAGTCTGGGTATGGTTTGAGGGAGGACACAGCGGAGGCTCCCCGGTCTCATCCCCGGTTCAAACTCCGGGTTGTACACCAGAGGCAGCAGCGGGCATGGGAAGGAGGAGAGGCGTAGTTTCCTCGCCTGTGAGTGCCACACGGTGAGGGTGGCGGTGATGAAGGGCTGTTGGTGGACTAGCCGCCTACCAATCAGTGGGTCCAGCCACAGGAGGGCTGAAAGGGGCCTGCCTGCGTGGTGTGTTTCGATAGCCTTCCAGGGTTTGCTAATCTAACCTCTAACCTCTTTTGCCCATTCCATGGCCCGTTGCATGTGACATGCTTGGTAATACAGTTTGGAGTGGTAGTGTCTGGAATAGGTAAAGTACCCGTGGGAGGATGTTCATTTTGGCAATGGCCACCCTGCCGAGCCAGGAGAAGTGAGGTGTGGTCCATTCTGTCAGGTTCTTCTGTAATGTTGCCATCAGTGGGGTGAAGTTCATATGGTAAAGTTTGGATAGGTCGGCCGTGAGCTTCACCCCCAGGTATTTTATAGCGGTGTCTTGCCATTGGAAGGGAAAATTTCTTCGGATTTGGTCTGCCCTCTTCCGGGGGAAGCCAATGTTAAGTATAGAGGATTTAGCGTAATTGATCTTAAGGTTGGCGATTTCGCCATATGTCTTTAACTCTGTCATAAGGTTTGGGAGGGAGATTTCTGGGTTCGTTATAAAAAATAGCATATCGTCTGCATATGCTGCGATTTTGTGGTGGTCTGCCTCCACCGCTACCCCCGAGATATCTGGGTTGTCCCTTACCGCTTGTAGGAAGGGCTCCAAGGTCAGGATAAACAGAAGCGGCGACAGAGGGCAGCCCTGCCTGGTTCCATTCCTGACCGGGAATGCGTCTGTATAGACCCCATTTATGCACACCCTGGCCGTGGGGGACGAGTAGAGGGCCTCTATCCACTGGCGCATGTGGGTCCCCAGGCCAACATGCTCCAGTACCGAGAACAGGTAGTGCCACGCCACCCTATCGAAGGCCTTCTCCGCGTCCGTAGAGAGGAGGAGGAGGCCTTTCGAGGAGCGCTGTGCGTGGTGGATCAGGGAGAGGGCCCGGACCGTATTGTCCCGGGCTTCCATGTGGGGGACGAATCCCACTTGGTCAGGTGAGATTAAGTCTGGTATGTGTGGATTCAACCTTGTAGCTAGTATTTTAGCGAATAGGCGTAGGTCGCAGTTAAGCAACGATATCGGTCGGTAGCCCGTGCACCGTTCGGTATCTCCCCCCTCCTTTGGCAGCAGGACAATATTGGCCGCTAGTGTTTGCTGGGGGATAGTATTTCCCTCTGTTATAGAGTTGAAGGCCGAGATAAATTGGTAGGACAATGTGGCCAGGAAGGTTTTATAGTATTTGAGAGGGAGGCCGTCTGGGCCTGGGCTTTTGCCGGTCTTCGAGGATTTGATGGCTAGGGCCAGTTCCCCCTCCATAAGGGGCGCCTCCAAAGCCTCCGCTGCGTCCGAGGAGAGTTTAGTTTTAGTGTATTTAGTGAGGTATGCGTTCATGCGGGTCAGTCCCATGTTAGGGTCCGCCCGAGGGGCGTGGGGGGGAATCGCGTAAAGGTCCGTGTAGAAGCGGGTTACAGCTGTAGCGATTTGATCTGGCATGTGGTGTAGTTGGCCTGCGGTGTCGCGCATGCGTGCAATATATGTCATGGAGCGTTTTTTGTTGATCATTCTGGCCAGCAACCTGCTGCACTTATCCCCTTCTGTGTAGAAGAATGATTTAGTGCGCTGGAGGGCCCTAGTGTACGATTGCCGCAGGGTCCATGCTAGTTCTTCACGGGCTGCTGTGAGTTCCCCGAGAAGTGTGTAGTCTAGTGTTTGCTTGTGGGCCTGTGTTAGGGTCCCTATCTTGGCCGTTAGTTCTCGGATCGTGTGGTCCCGTGCCTTCTTCAGGGCAGAGGAGTGTGAGATGAGAATCCCTCTCATCACACACTTGTGGGCCTCCCATGTCAAGAGGGGGAATGTGTCCTGTGGTAAGTTCTCGGTGAAGTAGATCGTCAGGGCTTGTTGTACGTCTTGGGCCACCTGCGGGTTGGATAGGAGGTTTTCGTGGAGCCGCCATGTCGTGGTTTTGGGTATGTGGAGTGGCGATGTGAGTTGGATTGTGAGTGGTGCGTGGTCGGACCACATTGTCCCCCCTATGGCAGAGTCCCACAGTCTGGGTAGATAGTAGTATGGCAGAAAGAAGTAGTCGATGCGTGTGTAGCATTCATTCGGGGTCGAATAGAAGGTGTAGTCTGTCGGGTGTGTCGCCCTCCAACAATCTGTAAGCCCATACTGGTGGAGAAGTTTACGAATTTTAAGCAGTGTAGGGGGGGTGTCGATGAATGGCCCCTGGATGCGTCCATCGTCGGGTGTAGAGCAATGTTGAAGTCTCCACCCAGGACCAGACAGCCCGTCGTGAAGTCGTGGAGGGCCCGGAGTGTGTCCCGGAGGAATCTGTCCTGTTGTGTGTTTGGGGCGTAGATGTTGGCAAAGGTATAGGTTTCGTCCAGGATTTTACCCCTAACGAATACGTATCTGCCCAAGTTATCAGTCATGGTCGAGACAGCTACAAAGGGTATGGATCTGTGTAGGAGTATTGCTGTCCCCCTAGATTTCCCATCTGGGTTATTGTTGTAGAAGCCTTGGGTGTATATATGGTTGCAGAGTTTCGGAGCAGCGTTGGTTTTAAAGTGGGTTTCTTGGAGGTAGACCACATGGGCTCTAGTTTTCTGACCGAGGCGTAGCGCGTGTGACCTCTTTTCGGGGGAGTTTAAGCCCCTAGCGTTTAGGGATAAGAAGTTGAGTGGGGCCGGTGCGTATTTGGGTGCGGGTGTAGCCATAATGTCAAATCCCATAGCTGTCGAAGTCGTCCCGGTCAGTGGGGGCCTAGGTAGGTAGACAAGCGGGGCAGAGCGGGGGAGCGGATGTCTCCGCATGGTGGAGCGCAGAGTGGGCCGTCCCCGCAATGGAGCAGAGGCACCGGTGTCAGGGGGGTAGAGATCCCCCGGCCCGGAGACCGGAGTGGGAGATGGCCCCCCCTATACAGTAGACACCGACCTCACGGGGAGTGCAAGGCACCTTGTCAACCCGCCAACAGCGGCGGCTGTGGATCAAAACAAACACCAACAGGTGTAACTTAAATCTGTGAAAACTGCTGTCGTGCCCCGGGGCAAATATCCCAGGGTACGGTCGAGTTCCAGCTGTAACTGTAACCTGTCGTGTGTCTGCAGGGACTCGCACCCGGGTCCCGACGTTGTCCTGTCTGAAGGGAAGATGTACTAGCCTACCCAGGGCGTAACCCCCTTTCTACTGTGCGGGTGTTTAGGGTGTTGGTGGACCCCCCTCCTCCCACAACCCGTTCCCCCTATGCGCATCAGTGTAGCCCCGTGGTGGCGTTTCTCCATCCCTAAAAGTGGTATGGAAAGCCTGTGTCCCCCCGAATTGCATCCCGGTTAACGGACCCCCTTGTGGGTTCCCCCTTCTGTGTGGTGGTGGGTTGTGTCGCTCTGGTTGCAGCACGTCTCTAGGTTGTGTACGCGGGTGCTCATACCATATTGCGTATAGAACTGTACCTTGGTGTAGCGTGGTCTGGCACCTATCCAGTATTGCATGCGAACCCCTAGACCCTGGGAACTTGCGCGTGCGCCGAACCTGTGGTATGAGTGATAGCCAGGCGTGGGACGTGCAGGAGCATACGTCGTGTTGTACCCAGTCCCATGGTGCTAGTGGCGTGTACGGGTGTGTGCGCAGGGTGACATGTGTACCACGGAGCACTGTGTTAGCCTGTGCTGGCAGATCTACACATATATACACATTCACATATATACACAATATATACACAATGGTTCATGTAATGCAGTATACAAGTCTAACATAAGCAGGCGCATACACCATATTATACAGATATAAAGCAAGGGAGGGTACTAGAGGGGCATGTCCAAAAGGGAGCCCCACGAATAGAAAGACCTAAGAACAGCTCCTAGGAAAAACATATCATGTTATATACAATGCAATGGACAGTTTGAGCATGCGCGGGCGTGCATATGGGGCTATACACCAGCCAGGGAGCAGTGTGAGCATGCGCCGACACGTTTACAGCGGTCAATGTAATGCAATGGACAATTGTGGCGTGTGTGGGCGGTTATGCCATGGTACCCGCTCTGCGATGAGCAGTTGTAGTGATGGCAGGCGCAGAAACAGTGGTGTGCAGCGGGGGGCGGGGTAGTCGTGACCTGTGCGTGCGGGTGAGATGCAGCGCCGCGGATAATTATAGCATGCGCTGGCACATAAGCGTTGGGCACTTGCAGCATGCATGGGCGCATGTGCCACAGAGACACAGTGCAGTAGGTGCTCCCAGCGGGCCAGTGTCAACATTGGCGGACATTACCATGTACCACAGTCCCATGGGCCACATCTCCCGCCCCACCCCACCCCATCGGGGCAGACTGGGCCCCCATGTCTGGCTGTACGTGAGGTGTGACTCAGCAACTGTCCGCCCGGCATAAGGTGCAGTTCTGTGGGGCGGAGAGACATGGTGCCAATGTGGGGTGTCCAATCGGTAGGTTGGCTAAGTTCGTATCTGGAGACAGCGTCTATGCCCTGGAACGGGGCTATTTGTGCCCTAGAGAGGGCCAGGCTGGTGTTGGGCGCATTGTGGGGGGGAAGGAGGGAAAGTCATGCCCTCTAACGGGCGGTACCTGTGGGCCTAGTGGCCTCCTGGCGTCCCCCTCTAGTGCGTTGCGGCAGCGCCGGTCTTGGGTAGGGGTTTCTTGCGGCGGTGTAGATGTCCAGTGGGTCAGGCCATCTCATGTTGATGGCGGGCAGTTGGAGCTCCGTGCCCAGTGCTATGTAGTCGCTGTGTGTGCGGACCAGGAATGGACCCCTCGGCGTGTGGACGAGCAGTCCCGTGGGCATCTGCCATCTGTACCGGATCTGTTGGGCCACCAGTACCCTCGTGAGTGGGCTTATAGGAATTTTTATTTCACTGAGAATAATAAGAGATGTCATAGCAAGTCTTTTATTTAGGTCATTACTATTTGTGTTTTGGTCTGTTTGAATCTTCATTCAGACCAAGTATTCACTAGTTGAATCGAATTCCGATTTATACATTGATATTGATACTTTTTATTCCACTTTCAGATTTCTGTTACTTTTAGAATGAGCATTTGACCTTTGTTTGCGGTCACAAAATATGAGAAATTTGTAATATTTTGAGAAAAAAACCAATGCATATGAAATATGAAGGATTTTTTATTCATTAAATATAAAAAAAGACAGTGAAAGCCGCTTACTTGTCATAGAAAACTGCGGCGGGAAAAGAGACCCACTTTCGCACTCCTTTTTCTACTTTGACAAATTTGTGAACAAAAAACCAGGACTAGATGGATAGAAACATAGAATGTGACGGCAGATAAGCACCATTCGGCCCATCTAGTCTGCCCAATTTTCTAAATACTTTCATTAGTCCCTGGCCTTATCTTATAGTTAGGATAGCCTTATGCCTATCCCACACATGATTAAACTCCTTTACTGTGTTAACCTCTACCACTTCAGCTGGAAGGCTATTCCATGCATCCACTACCCTCTCAGTAAAGTAATACTTCCTGATATTATTTTTAAACCTTTGCCCCTCTAATTTAAGACTATGTCATCTTGTTGTGGTAGTTTTTCTTCTTTTAAATATAGTCTCCTCCTTTACTGTGTTGATTCCCTTTCTGTATTTAAATGTTTCTATCATATCCCCCCGTCTCGTCTTTCCTCCAAGCTATACATCCTTATCCTGGTAAGTTTTATCCTGCAATCCATGAACCAGCTTAGTAGCCCTTCTCTGAATTCTCTCTAAAGCACGCTTCCCCAAACTCCGGCTCTCCAGATGTTGCTGAATTACAACTCCTATGATTCTACGAATGAAATAGATAGGCTGAGAATCATGGGAGTTGTAGTTCAGCAACATCTGGAGGACCGGAGTTTGGGGAAGCCTGCTCTAAAGTAACAGAACAGGGATAAGAATAAACATGTGCAAACAGAAAAGGCAGCACAATGCATAGAAAGAGAACACAATGTTGTTTTATTTATATATAGCCAACACAGTCTACATCTGTCCTATGCTTCAGAAGAGCTGCATGGAATTAAAAAAAAGCCTATCATATTAACTCCCATCACTCTCAGGCACTTTTTTGTGTGGTCTATCCTTACAGGATTTACAGTCTACAACCGCCCAACAAGCAGAAGTGACCTGTGATTTATTGTCTAATTTCAGAAGACAGACTGTCCCCAGGATTTTAACCCAAATGACCTTATTAGGAATTTTCATCACAGCAGGGGACGTCCTACTCACGAAATTATTAATGAAAGTTAAACAAAACAGATTCTGCACTGTCACCTGCATCATTCTTCAGACCCAATTCATCGTAAGTCACTAGATGGTCAGAAAAGTTATTTTATTGCCCGTGGCAAAACGAATGGCGAGAAAACTCCTGCCGAGTAGATTGCAAGCTCTTGTCGACAGGCCCTTGGGCCTAAAGCAGAGACTGTATCTCTCCATGCATAGACTGAATGTCCCGAGTTACACATGCATTAAAGGCGATTAGCTTTCATTTGTATTTATTATTGTAATTGTTTTATTATATTTACTATTATAATTTAATTTTTTTTATTTTGCTAAGGCGCTGTTTATTTTTCTGTAAGACAATACATGTGATGTATTCGTAAGTGTGTAAACAGAGTAAATCCCCTTGGCATCTGGTATCAATAGGCTGTCACATAGCGATGTTTGTTTCCCCTCTGTTTATGGGCTGTTAAACACATAATATGCCAGGGCAGAGAAAAAGCGTTCTTAAAACAAATCACATATTTTGCAAACAACGTCTATTTAGCAGCGGGCAGCGAGCCACCCTTGCCCTATTTAAATGGCACCTCATCTTCCCCCAGAATGGGCTTTGTGTTCTTCTTCCCACCAGTCTTTTTATGCTGGACAGTGCCACTCCATTGTCTACCCAGCTGCTCTGCCACTACTGCGTCTGCAGCAACAGCAGCTGGGGAAACAATGTACGCCGAGAGTCCTGTGCCCCCTGAGAGGTGCAGACAACGGGCAGACTGGCACTGCAGACTGAGGACACCATTAAAGGATTTGCCAGTCTCAGTGAGAGCGTGTTCTGCATGCCACACAGGGACCCGTGAGAGCACAACTGGCCCAAGCTGGTACCCAGGAAACCACACACAACAAAGAGAAGCCCTGCATTCATTCATATGTTGAGACAGTGCCAAGGCCAGTTTCTTTTAATGGCACCGCTCAGAATATCATGGTGTTTTCACCTCACATAAACCTTGATAGATGGCCAAGGAATCCATGGCACTGAGCTAAACACGTACAGGGCATACAGAATATATAGGGAGATTAGAGGTAACGTTAAAAAAATATATATATATATATATATATTTTTATTTATTTTTGAAGTGTAGTGGATGCATGGAATCTCCTGCCAGTAGAGGTGGTAGGGATGTGTACAGTGTGATGCCTGCAGTTAGGAACATGGGCAGTGGTGTATTTTATGTGTAGGGAATAGGCCCTTAAAGGAACACTATAGTATGAGGAACACAAACATGTATTGCTGATACTATAGTGGTAAAATAACAGTATAGGTGGCCAGCCTCCTCTCTTCACATTAAAAAAAGGTGTTTAAACTCACCTTTTTTCCAGCGTCGTGTTGGTCTGTTCGTGGCTGGCCCTGCCCGCGCTGCCTCGATGACTGAGATAGGAAAAAAGTGAAGGGCTATTGTACATGTGTGGCAAAACGCTGTGCTGCGCCAATCAGCATCAAACAGAATCAATGTATCTCAATCAGGACATTCAGCGCCTCCTTGCAGAGCGTGGAGACGTTGAATGTCAGTGCTGCACAGTGTGCACTTCTAGTGGCTGTCTGAGTGACTGCCACTAGAGGTGTTACTAGGCAGCAATGTAAACACTGCCTTTTCTATGAAAAGTCAGTGTTTACATTAAAAATCCTGCAGGGAATGGCTATGGGCACCATAACAACTACATTAAGCTGTAGTTGTTCTGGTGATTATAGTGTCCCTTTAATGGGCCATGTGTTTAAAATCTAGCTCATGTTTACACCAAAGAGTAGAGTGTGACCAGGGGCATTCCTTAATTTCAGAAACACCTGGTGACTTGAGCCCAAAGGAAGTTCAATGGCTCCTACACTAAACGAGGTGGGGATAGAACAGTTCCCCATCTTTCTATGTTTTCTCCCCTCCTCACTACCCATAAACAGTGTGCAAGTGAATCTCTCTAGGATGTCAGTGAATCTTCGCATTTACACACATTGACAGGAAAATGAATATACCGTTTATTCACACAAACTGATACACTACAACATGCATGCACACACTGACACTCAACTCAAATACAACCCTGCATTCACACACTGACACTAAACCCAAATACAACATGCATACACACTGACACTAAATTCAAATACAACCCTGCATTCACACACTGACACTAAACCCAAATACAACTCTGCATTCACACACTGAAACTAAACTCAAATACAACCCTGCATTCACACACTGACACTAAACTCAAATACAACCATGCATTCACACACTGACACTAAACCCAGATAGAACCCTGCATTCACACAAATACAACCCTGCATTCACTAAACTCAAATACAACCCTGCATTCAAATACAACATTCACACACTGACACTAAACTCAAATACAAACCCTGCATTCACACACTAACACTAAACTCAAATACAACCCTTTATTCACACACTGACACTAAACCCAAATACAACATGCATGCACACGCTGACACTAAACCTAAATACAACATGCATTCACATACTGACACTAAACTGCATTCACACACTGACACTAAACTCAAATACAACCCTGCATTCACACACTGACACTAAACTCAAATACAACCCTGCATTCACACACTGACACTAAACCCAAATACAACATGCATGCACACACTGACACTAAACTCAAATACAACATGCATGCACACACTGACACTAAACTCAAATACAACCCTGCATTCACACAGACACTAAACTCAAATACAACATGCATGCATACACTGACACTAAACTCAAATACAACCCTGCATTCACACACTGACACTAAACTCAAATACAACCCTGCATTCACACTCTGACACTAAACTCAAATACAACCATGCATTCACACACTGACACTAAACCCAAATAGAACCCTGCATTCACACACTGACACTAAACTCAAATACAACCCTGCGTTCACACACTGACACTAAACCCAAATACAACCCTGCATTCACACACTGACACTAAACTCAAATACAACCCTGCATTCACACACTGACACTAAACTCAAATACAACACTGCATTCACACACTGACACTAAACTCAAATACAACATGCATGCACACACTGACACTAAACTCAAATACAACCCTGCATTCACACACTGACACTAAACTCAAATACAACATGCATGCACACACTGACACTAAACACAAATACAACCCTGCATTCACACACTGACAGTAAATTCAAATACAACCCAGCATTCACACACTGACACTAAATTCAAATACAACCCTGAATTCACACACTGACACTAAACTCAAATATAACCCTGCATTCATACGCTGACACTAAACTCAAATACAACCCAGCATTCACACACTGACACTAAATTAAAATACAACCCTGCATTCACACACTGACACTAAACTCAAATACAACCCAGCATGCTCACACTGACACTAAACTCAAATACAACCCTGCATTCACACACTGACACTAAACTCAAATACAACCCCACATTCACACACTGACACTAAACTCAAATACAACCCTGCATTCACACACTTATATTAAACTCAAATACAACCCAGCATTCACACACCGACACTAAACTCAAATACAACCCTGCATTCACACACTGATATTAAACTCAAATACAACCCTGCATTCACACACTGATATTAAACTCAAATACAACCCT